GCTGCTCCATCGACAAGTTAATGGAGATCGACCCGGAGAAATTGCGTCGAGTGAAGGAGCTTCGCGCAACGCACAGGGCCCTTCAACAGGCGATCAGCAGATTAGGCAGCATCAGATTGAACCACGATTCGATGACGTCTTACGTCTTTTCGGCAGCATCAGCAGAAATAGTACCACATGCCGGCTCACGGCCTGAAATGGTTCATTCCCATTCGGCCTCTTTCCCAGCAGAACACGCCTCATCATCCTCTGCAGGCAGCCTCGTGCAGCAACGTTCATCGAGTTCCAGATTCGTCTGTCGCAGCAAAGACGGATCACGTATTTGTGACCAAAATACCCCGAAGACTCCCACCGAATCGAAATCCAAGTTTTACTGCCTGATGTAGGTTTCGACCTCACACTTACACGAACACACACACATAGATATATTCCACTATACTCGTTTCGATTAACCAATATAAGGAACAACAAATAACACTTGCGTTGAACTGTTTGTTGTTTGTTTTTGTTATTTTTAATATGTTTGCAACTTCTGTCACGAATACGTGAAACAAGGTTACGTTCGTATTTGTTAATGCATAAAAGTACCATTTTTGATGCTTAGGCAATTTACTTTACTGTTTTAAATTTAGGTTTAAACTGAATAGGCAAGTGACGAAGGAATAAATTTTTACACCGACTGATTGGCATTAAATTTGCACCTTTGCAACAACAATTAAATGGTCCTTTTTTGTAATTGATGACACTGACCGTTGCTTAGAGAGGATGCCCACGTTCGTCTGTCTCGTGCGATTTATCTCCACAAACTGCGTGTTTCTCCCTTTTCGCTCATCGTTCCATCTGTGCTGAGGTTTTCCGATTGTTCTCTTGTTTCAAGCACTGGACATCGAGAAAGAGCTTGGTCTAGTAACGAAATGCATGCATCTGATGACGGGTATTCTTATGAGTGGATAACAACTGGACTATGATGTTCTTCACTGCAAGGAAAATCAACGAGTTATGGGCAAGTCTGAACGATGCGTTTCAGAATGCGACTGCCCTAATGAACTTTCACAAATTACTTGTAGTCGTTCTCAGTTGAGTGACAACACACTTTAAATCAGGTCTGTTCCTGCCTTCTCCGATTACTGACAGAATTGCTCTTCTTTGTGGATTGAACCTGTTCGACGTTGACACGAAGTAGTTTCGTCTTTACTTGACTCTCGGAAGACCTCTTACTTTTTGATTAATAATTTTGGATATATTGTAATAGTTAATTTCTCAGCAACGCGTGTGTCTGGTGGGAAGTGGTATTTGTGGTGTCGTCACCTGATTTTGTTGCGAAACCCGGAGAAGGAACGTTTGAGATCGCAGTTAGACTCTCGAGCTATTGCAGTATGTACTGTAGTCAGTTGACGTTTTCCGCAAGAGCACGACAATCATCGAACCTTTGGTAATTGATGTGTTCCCCCTCAATGTTAATACAAACCTCCCAGATTGTCCTCACGAACACCATTGTTGAACGCGCAGTGAAGCGTTTTGCGGGAGATGATGTTCCTTTGCCCCCCCACACTTCTCTACGGAAGCCTTGAGGAGTGTTGAACAGCGTGATGTTTGTCGAGCGGGCAAAGTTGCCCCCTTTTAGCAGGTTATTGCAATGGATGTCGGCGCCACGTTCTGCCTGTACAATGGCACCGTGTCATGCTTGGCAGTCAGACTTTCTCATAATCAACTGAGGCTATGGACAGCTGTAATTTCTTCTTGCACTCGATGAGTTGATTTAAAGTAGGGCTGCTACCCGTTGTGCCGTAGCTGCTTCAGCGTCCTCTCTGTTTCTTGGCCACTATTCGTACATACTTATTGACAGCCTACCGGTGATTATCTTAGTGAATAGCATGTAGATTTAAGAAAGCAGGTAGATGCATCGATGATTCTTCGGATCATCCCTCTCGTCCTTCTTGAACATTTCCTTCCAACTTGATGGCATTTTTTCCATTTCCACGTATCCACTGAACCTTTTTGCTAGAGCCCCCTCTCTGCGTCTGATCACCTGCTCTAATCATTTCATTTCTCACACACTCTGCCTGGGGCTCTTTATTCGTTCATTTTTTGCGGCATGTCAGACTTTGCTTATGAGGACCGGGGCTACACTTCCTTTTGAATGTTTGAGTGATTGTGAGACATGTGTCATTGAAGCAAGGAGCCTGATGTAAAGTTCTTGCGCCTGAACTCCGTCCCGGCTCTGTGGGACGTTACATGTCTTATTGCCCTTGTAGAACGCCCTAATGATAGAACTGATAGATTGTTCTCTTGCATACTCTAAAGTTTCGACCGTTTTCTATAATTTTCGCAATCAGAAGGTTTTTTTTCAGAGTCGTTCTTCATCTCTCGTCAAAGAATATGGTACTCCACCTTGTCGGTCCTATCTCTCTTCATTCTCATATGCTTCTGTAACAAACTTTTCACCTCTCCTCAGGTCTTTTTTTCTTCTCATTGATGTTACCATCTCAAATCACTTTGCGCGGAGTCTGAGGTTTTCGCCGGATTTCACTGGCTCATTGTCGAACCTGCCTTTCAGCGGTAGTCATCACCGGAAATGCCGGCTTGAGCACCGTCTCATCGAATACCG